ACACATAAGATTATATTAGTGTATATTAGTGTATATTAGTGTATATTATTTCACACAACGTACAGGGTGGCTTGTTTGGTTTGTGTATATTAGTGTTCTCCTCACAAATGAATTCTGGATGAATCTTATCACTTCTTGTTTCACACATAAGATTTGTGATTCATCTCCATTCTATGTGGGCCAATCAACAATGGTGTCTAGTGCCCTGGATTTACAGCATAATTAGACCAACTAAATGTGATCCTGAGTTACCAAAGAAAAAGTAAAGCAATGCCAACTGCAAATATACAATGTAACAAGGATTTTGTTTGATCAAATTTGACTGAAGCAATACCAGTTTCGACAACTTTGGCTGACGCAAAAGACTAGTGCTAAGCTATATGAACCTTAATTGAAACCAGGAAAGAATGCTCACTACACCTTGCCATTTATACCTGTATATTTTGTTCATTTTTATGAGCTTTCAAACAATTGAGAGCATCCATCCTGGTATCTTTCCTCAATTTCTTATTCATGTAAATCATGAGCAACATCAATTACACCCAAATATAGATATAAAAAGATCCTTTTTTGACAAAACAAATAATAAAGAATGTTTATTACTTGATTATCCTCTATTCTAATGGTTCCCAGTCCTAATATTTTCCTTTGTGACAAATGAAAATGCTTGCAACACTCAAGAAAAAAAAATACTTGGCTATGTTTTTTTTATAATTTAAATATTCATTATGAAAAAATTGCTACACAAAGTTTCTTTTCAATTAATAAATTTGAAATAATAAAAATTTTGATATTTAATTACATAAGTCCTGTTGCCAATATGAAAAACTGCTGAAATAAATCCTGCAACAGAAATATGAACAAACCTTGCTCGCAGTCATGGAATCTGGCAAACGCAAGGCTTTGAGATGAGCAGAGTCAACAATGTCAGCTAACTTCCAGCTTCTGATTTTTTCAGTATCTTCAGGAATTCTTGGCTTAACATCAGTAGTCCTGCTACTTTCCACAACAGCCTGCAAAATTCATTTAATGTCATAATCTCTATACCAGTAAATGCTATCAGTAACATAGGAAGAAAGTGCATATTAACTCTCACCAAGCTACTCATTGATACTGCAGGTAAGGTTCGATCTGGTCGCTCAGGAGTAGCTATTATAGGGCTAGAAACATTTGAAACAGCTCCCAGTGCATTTATAATTGGGGGCTGCATAATGTAAAGATAGCATGTTAAAGAGATCATCATAAATGCCTAGAGATGACAAATAATCTATGAAAGAAACCTCAGGTCCTCAACTAGCTCTGAGGAGATTTACAGTTTTATCACGTAGTGGTATCTAGAAAACAAGAATAGACGAAGACATTTTCACACATCAAAATGACACAATTGTCCTAGAAATTCAGATAAAACTACCTTTCACTATGTTAATTACTTTATTCAAACACTGAGTTATCTAAAGTTCAACATGTTGAAGCAAGGAATTTTCTTGACCTGGCTGTTAGGCATGATCATACTATTTTTTTAATCAGGTTGAGATCAGGCATTATTGCATCTATTACAAAAAAAAAAGGTTTTCCATATAAGTAAAAAAAGGAAAATGAATATATGTAGACGCACATAACTCTAACAACATAAGAAATTGAATCTATACTGACTCCAGTCCGTATTGTTCGTATCATATTGCCTCTAACATGAAAATTAGAATGGAAAAAATATTACCTTTGAATTAGTGCTAATCTGTTGAGAAGGGCCTCGAGATCCCTCACATCCCCTACCCTCCATCATCCTTACCAACCTTTGGCCGTCAGTATTTGCTAAGATCTTAATTCCATTATCACTTGTTGTCACTGCAAGTAATGAGCCTTCTCGGTTGAATCTCAAGCGAGGACTTGCCTGCACAAGGGAAAGAAGGACTATTAAAGCTCAAAGTTCCAGTTTTGACAATAAAGAAGTAAATGAATTGAGCTGCTCACAGGCAATCCACCATCTGCATCAGTAGTAGTTAGTATATTAATATTGTCCATATCCCAAAACTTTATCATAAATTCGTCTCCAGCTGCCAAGAATCGGTTCCTAGCTGTATCAAACTGAACAACCCCTAAAGAGCGTTTTCTAAAGCCAGAGTATGTCCTCTTAATAGCTCCCTCAGTTTCATTCCACTCAACCAGATGAGAGTCACCATCTTTACTAGTTCCACAAGAGAAAAGCCTGCAGCAGATCGGAAGTTCAAATTTTAGATGACCAATACACTGACATGAGAGTCGAGACAAAAACAGAGATTGGCACTATTCTAGCAGTATTGAAAAATAACAACGGCACATAGGAGGATAAAAGAAACAACTACTAGTAATATGTATAAGGATGATCACATGTGATGATGGTTATTAATAGTCAAATACTGGAGAGGCCAGTTGGAAGCCTTAGGAACACCCTACATGGTTGCTAGTCAAGGACTCACCCCTCTGACAAGACCCTGATTATTGCCCATCATGTGAAAGAGGGCAGCAAGAGGCTCAACATGTAAGGCTTTGTAGCATGCCTCTTCTTATGGTAGCTTAAAGATGTTAAGAGTTTACCATACCAACATATGATTGCAAATGGCAGTGACAAATTCAATATGTAGAAAGACAATCTTCACCTTGTCCCATCTGAACTGTATGCCATTGTTGTGCACCAATGTCCAGGAGCATCGTAGTCAACTCTGGATCCCAAACAATCATAAAGCCATGCTTTGATTTTCCCATCAATAGCAGTTGAGAAGATAAACTGCATAAAGAGAACATTACCATCAGAAATGGTTAAGAAGACCTTTTCTGACAACTCCATCAGCTAAATAAACACACATCACCAACAACAAAGATCAAAAAGACTGATTCAACTTGTTTAATCAACCAAAAGAATGATGATCGGCCTAGTAAACAAAAAATTAGCAGAGTTGGAAACAAACCTGAATAGACTCAATAATTAGTAGGGTTGGAAACAAACCTGAATAGACTCCTTATAGTGAGGGCACACAGAATATACAGGAGTTTCATGGCCCTCAAAAGTGTACTGCTGCTGCCCTGTCGCAGCATCCCATACCTGCCATTCAGTTCAATGAAAATGATAAGGACATGCTTATAACAAGTAAAATAGATCAAAGATACAGCCTCTGCTTCTCACCTTAATCGTCTTGTCATCACCACATGTGATTATTGATAAACTCTTTTTAGGGTGGGAGAAAGCGATGTCATTAACACCACCCACATGAGCATCAATCTACAGAACACCAAACAGTCAGGTACCATCACATGCATGGCAATAGAATAACATATTAAACTTACCTCCAATTGTTGCCTCAACTCTCCATTTAAACTAAAAACATATGTATGAACAATATGTTTTGAGAATGCAACACCTATAGGAGACCATACAGCAGCATATACATTTATTAGGAAAATAAAGCAATGCTAAAATTTAGCAACATGGAACCATATTGAAAAAAACAAGCAGATGAATTATACCAAGGATAGTTCCATCAGGACTCCACAAGCATCGATTGACAGATACGATAGCATCTTTCATGAGAGCTGACTGCAAGTTGAATAGACAAGGTATGTTTATGAATCATAATTTGGCAAGAAGGTTGAGCCAGATTTTATGTCACAAGAAACTGACAATCAACAAGAAGTTTTAAGTTCAAGGGAGCACCTGCAGAGGCACAGTAAAAGATCCAATATCCCAAACCTTAAACGTCTTGTGTGCTATCCTTTCCTTCGTTCCAACTTCCCATATGCTAACGTCACCAACATTTGTTCCAACTACAAAGCAAGAAAATCAAGCTGATCAAGTGAACCAAGTCTCATTGACAAAAACAGCACAAACAAGACATCCATGCATCACTAAATCAATTGTTCAATCACATACCTAGAAGAATTGTTTGGTGAATTGGATGAAAATCCAAGCTCATGACATTAGAACCTTGGTTGATAGTCCGTGCCACAGTTTTCGGAATATCTTCTTGAGAGTAAACATTAGGTGGATGACTTGATCCAGAGAATGACACCTAAAGAAGAAGCTATTTTGTTGTTATGGCATGACAAACCAAACATATTCACTTCATATTTGACCCAAGTTATGACCAAGAAACTGTTATGGGTGTCCTGTAGCAGCTTTAATTTCTTAGATACCTCATCTGATTGACCTGTACGTAATCTCTTCATCAAGTGTTCCGAGTCAGCAGTTTGATAATCCATACCAGGAGTACTTGTTGGGGTCCTTGGGTGCTTCAAGAAAGCAGCTGCAGAAGTAAAATTCATTGTTTAAAGTATAATATAGAAATATCTTCAGTCACCAGGGAATATAGGCATCTGAGAAACACCTGTAGTTTGAGGCTGAACCAGACCTGGAGGGCCTTGTGCCACAGCAGCATGTGATAATGATGGGTTCGCATTCGTCATCCACCCCGCAATGGCACTTGCAGGTGGAGAGACAACTGGCTGGAATGGCTGTATTGAGGGTAGGCTAATAGTCCATAAACAGGAACCACAAGAAAGGGCCAGAAATAGATGTGATCAAATCCACTTACACTATGAGCAGACAGTGGAGGAAATGCCCCAGATTTGGGAATAGGCCCCACAAGTGGGCCATTTGTCGGGGGAGGTCCACGTGCTCCATTAGTAGGAATGGCACAAGAATGATCAGTAAAAAGTGTTTTAATATCAGGGTTGGGGCGTGGATTCTTGCAAAGCTGATGCTGCCAATTCAGACTACAAAGAAATTTCAAAGAAATATATAAGCAGATGAGATTTTAAGATATGAGCATGTGCTTAAGAAACCTCCAAATGCAGTAGTCAGAAGAGGTGAAATGATTAATACTAGTAGTACAAGGAACGGCAAAGGAAGACCTAAAAAGAATTAAAAGGATTTAAGTATTCTGAATTTAATTAAATATATATTTCAATGATCGCAAAAGATCTACATAGCCGATCCCAAATTATTTGGGACTTACGGCTTTATTGTTGTTGTTGTTGTTGTGTATGAGATTTTAAATTAAAAAAATTAAATCATAGAAAAAACAAACTAAATGAAGTAAGATAGGGTAAATGAAAAATATCCTAGTCTTTTTTCTAACCAGTTCTGCTTCCAGATATGAAATAGTGTTCCTGATTACTTAATTGTTAAATTAGATGTGAACATAGTTATATATGTGTTAAAAGCATTCATGTGTGAAAAATTATCCATATAAACATAATTAAATAGAGAAATATCACATATATGACATGCATTATTAAAGGAATAGCACAATAGTCTTGTTAATGTTCTATGCTAACCAACTAAACCATAATTGCAGTTTCTGTTAATAGAAAATCCATTAAGTAGTTTGCTACATCATTGCTGAATATAACAGTACTGAAGATAATAATATCAATGAACATTGAAATAATAGCTACTATACAGTAAATAAAGGATAAAAGAGGGAAATGCACACCTTTGGTTGATTAAAGTCCGCAGCCGAGAAGACTTAAATGGTGGAAATGTTAGCTTATCACGAAACAAAGGATTAGCTTCAATGAGCTTTTTAAGCTCCATTAGCATTATATTTCGTGCTGATTTTGTGTCACCATACTTGGAAAGCTGCTCATTTTGCCTGCATAAATTTTAAAAAGAAAGAAAGAAGAATAATAATTCATCATGAAAATGATGCCAACATCATTAACAACTCCACAAACCGAAGCTAAATTACCTGAAATTCTCCAAGGTAAGCAGCTGAGTAATCTCCTTGAAGAGATCCTCATTGAAAGAAGCAAAAACCTTGAGATCCTTCACGAGTATCTCAACAGCTTTAGCTCGGTCATGCCTGAGAGAACAACAATGGTGGGTCTATCAAATAAGGACTACATACTAAAACTAAAGAACAGGATTCCAAAAGAAAAGGAACAAAATCTCACCTGTCAAGTGCTTCCAGATACTTCTGCTTCCTAATCTCAAAGAATATTTTCATCGAGTATCGATTGTCTTCAACCTTGGTGAAACCACCAAGATATTTTTCAACTTCATCCCATTCCCCTGCCTGAACTAGATCTTCAAAATGCTTCATATTAAAGTAAAAGCCTGACTCTTGTTCCAACCTATAAGTCAAACCATTTGCCTTAGTAAAAATAAAAACGAGCTTTGGATATAAAAATTAACAAGAAAATAATACTACTTACTTATGAACTGCTTCTTTGAATTTCTCCTCATCCAGGAACTGCAGTATCAGGAAAACCAATTCCCTGCTCAAAGACGACATGGTTTCCAGGTAGCAAATCCCAAATGCACCAGAGCAAGGACCGAGTCCCAATAGGTCGAAGACAAACCACACAAGCAAAACCTTCAAACGTTATCTCAATCACTTCGGACTTTTCCCTTCCAAGTCTCTCAAGTGGAGAACTACCTCTTTTACCAACTAGGTGACAACGATTCGAACCAAACGACCAGGCTCAGAAACGACGAAATGGAGCGCAAACACTAAAGCTAAATGGTCACAAATATCTAACTCCTTTGGCTCGAATACAGAGATCGGAGCTGAGACTCCAAAAGCCTAACCAACAAAAAGCCGCGTTCTCCACCGAGAGTTGCAGAAGACGATAACAGCCGCCCTGCCCCTGAAAACCCCAAACAATCTCCTGGTCCGCCCCACTTAACTCGAAATCCGCCACCAAAAGAGCAACATAGCGAGAGAAACCCTACCAGACCGCCACCAGACCGGAGAAAGAGCCCGCGGCAGCGGTCAGGAACCGATCTGGACCTCCCGCGAGTTTCTCTCCCCCGTACCCCACGAACAAGCCCTCGATCTGGAGCCGGATCCCGCGAGAAACCAAAAGCGCGAAATTTCCGGGAAGCAAGACCGATCCGGATCCGGGAGATCTGCGCCTCCTTCGAGATTTTCTAGGGTTTCGAGGCGCACTTTCTTCTCTCTCACTGCTTTCTCTCGTTTCTTCTCCTCCACTCCAGCCGCCGTGTTCTCCTATCCTTCTGTCGCTCTCACTCCCTTTCTCACCTGTTATAATCCTACTCGCTTCGATGGTCTCTTCCCTTCGCCTTTTATAGGTGGAAACCCTGGCAGAAAAAGCCGCTTCCACTTTCCTAAATTATCCATCCGCTTCTCTAAAATTACAACTTTACCGCATTTATTGCGACGATGTGTGTTACCTACCCAAACAAAAGTAGGGGTATTCTTGTAAGCCTCCGGAACCGCTCGTCACGTCGAGAGGGTCATTCCCGTAAATCCGGACTTGGCGTCGGTTTCGAGGAGCACCTTAGGGGTAGAATCGTCACTTTGTACCCCTGGCGGAGCATCTTTCTCTCGAGGGCTCGCCCAGAAGGTTAATCTCGTCAATTTCAACCGCACTAATGCCGAGCGCGCCACGTCATCTTCCTCGTACTCCGTCAACTCAAAAATCAATTTGAGAAGGAGATAAAGTTACGCTCGGTTTTTCTGTATACTCGCATTCTTTAGTTGCGTTCGGTGCTTCTCGTTAGCGATAGCGGACTGATGCGGCAAAAAAGGAGGGTGAAATTATAAAATATCGGTTTAGTCCAGAGAAGTCGTTGCGGTTATCAATGTTGATAACTAGGATAACTTATCAGATGAATAGTGCGCAACCAATGGGCAACGAGCACAATCGTGCGACGACGTGTCCACCAACGACAGTATCACGTGACGATTACCTTTTCCTCCCTCGCACGCTTTCGCTTTTTGCGCTTCGAGAAAGAAAAAAAGCCTTCTCCTACCCAACCGCGCGTTACCCTCTCTCAACTACCGCTGTGACTGGACGGGGCCCAAGGGGTCCACCCAACCTGTGGCTCACGTTCCGATTACGCGCATGGATGAAGAGGACAAATAAAAATAACATGACGCATCAATTAGCCAAAGGTTGATTTCTTTACTAGTGAGGACAAAAGAGTCATTTCAACGAAGAATGGGGGACAGAACAAGGAAATGCAACGGATAAGGGATTCGAACAGCTGCGACGTGAGACGCGGACATTAACGGAGTGACGAGTCTGCCCCTATCACGTCGTACTCTAAAGTGGGGAACAAAGTATCACGAGTCGGAGAATGGTCGAGGGAACGAAAGCAAAGATACACGACCCAAGTCCTCTCGCGACACGTGACGCGAGAAAGAACACAAGGCTGGTCTCCTGATGCGGATCCATCACCTTCACTGGGGGCCAATCAAGTTAAGTTTCTTCGCGCATCTTAAAGCATGACGGACGCGGATAAGTGACCGAGGAACACTTTCTCTGTCACGAACGTGTCACTCGCGTTTACCGCGAGAGAAACCCAACGAATCTCGGCACGAGTTCAACTATATGCATATCCGAAGTTAGCGTGAGAAATCGCGCCGTTGTGTTCCAAGCGGTTCCGTGACTCGTGAGGTGATGGGGACCGTAGTTTTGTCTGCGATAGAGGCGGTGGCTAAATCCGTCTCCGTGACAGTGTTGGTTTCTGGTTAGCTTTTGTTGCAGCTTTTTTAACTCGATGGAGAGTTTAATGGTTGGGAGATGCATGAATTGACATCACCCAAAAATCTTTTCTTTTTTTTTTTGTTGCACTTGAAATTAAGAAAGGAAAAAAATTGGAATAAAAATGGATTTATAGATGCAATGTTAGGGTGGTAATATGGTCCATATGATTAGAAAATTTGAATGGTCAAATGTGCTATTTAATTGACTATCTATCATTAAGTAATTTTTATTATGACAATGAGGGGAATATTTTTTAGGGTATCTGAGTCGAATTTAAAATTAATATCAAAATAATAAATATTATGAGTACTCGATCCGTGATCATGGTGTGGTTGGGATTTCGTACAAAAGAAAGAAAAAATTGGCAGTGTGATGGGACAAGCTTATGATGCGGTGGATGTGCTGAGCCCAACAACTGATATGGACACTACTTTCTTGCATGTCTCATCAATTAAGTGTTGACAAATGAGGTGGTGAGTGGTTGTCCCAACAAGCATGCTAACTACTATAGGACTCAGCAACAATACTTTTGTCTCTTCCATCTTAGCACCATGGATGACATGATGGGCCACTTCATGCTTAATCCAAGTCTCCTATAACTTGACAGTAACATTTGGTGAGATAATTTTATCCTTTATAAAAAAAAATAGACACTCTGAAAGGATAAAACAATAAGGAAACACATCGTAAATAATAATAATATTTATTTTTTTTAATTTACCTAAAAATGGCATAAAATGATTTTTTGAAGTTAAATAGACTGTGTTACAAATAATATAAACCTTATACATGAAGAAATATCATGATATCTAGAAGGTAAATAATGGACCCATATGAAATGGCCTTTCTACCCTCAGCAAAATATTTTTGGTTTCCATGATGCTTAACCAGCTCATTTGGCCTCTGACCCATGGATAACTTGGAATTAGTTTTAATTGGATCATTGATTAAGCTATAATTGATGTTCATGACACAAAAAATAAAAAAAAGGACTTTTTAGATACTTTATATATTTGTTGCTTTCGATCACAAACTCCCAAGTGATGGTTTACATGTTTTCTAAATGGATGTTCACAAAATATATATTATATTATATTATATTAAAATAAAGTGCAAGGCTATATATGTAAAACCAAAAAGATACTTTGGCATCTCCAAACTACTTTCACGTATATATATGGCGGACGGTGTTGAGCCTCCCCATGGATGTTGGTCCTACGGACCCCACATCCTTTGATCAATCACGACACGAATAGAAAAGCGGGTAAGACGTTAAAACTACGGTGGCAGAGCCTAATGCCTCCACGTGGGTCACAGTGGGGCCATAATCCTATTGTCTCATGACACGAATACAATGGCGGGTAAGAACGCAGGCCTACGCGAGCAAAGCGTCAACGCCGTGCCGAAGGACGTGCGTAACCCGGGCCCCACGTCTTTCCACTAATCAGGATACAGGTAGAGGTGTAAGGATAAAAAACAACACAGGCGAATTTTACCCGCGTGTCTAACGATGTGGATTTCGCGGGCCCCATGATATTGAGCAATCACAACAAGGATAGATCGGTGGGTCTCAGAGGAAGAGTTTGAAAGTGTTATCTAGGCCGTTAACAGGAGACGCCCGAGACGAAACGGGAGGGAGAGAGAAACAGAACACACTCTTCTTCTTCGATGCCGTTAACACATTCCCCGCCGCAGACCAAGCTGGGGAAGAGGGAAGGGGGAAGATAAAGAGGGATCCCAGGGTTGGGCAATCGCGCGGAGGCTCGCGTTTCCGCGGTGGCCGCCGGCAAAGCATATGGACTTGGGCTTGAGCAAGACGGAGTCTACCTCACGGCGACGGCGACCGGGCTACCGAAGCTGCCTCGCGCACACCCTCGATGTGCTCCATTTCCTCGAGTATGGCTTTGAACTCCTTTATCGAGATGTTTCCGCTGCTCCGATGTAGATTAATTTGCTTGGGTTTGGTTGATGCAACTGCGTCTCTGTTCATCTCCTGGATTTATGGAAACTGGAGTTCCTCCTCTGAGGAGTTTGCAGTTTTACTCATAAAATTCTCGAGAGATTGAACGAATGATGATGGGATGTCTACATTAGTAATCAGTCATTTGCTTCGCCTTGCCTGCAAATTTTGATCTAACTTCTGTTTTGTTGACTAAATTATAATCTTATGTTGGTCCCCAAATTATTTGTGCGTGTGAGTGACATTGGCTCTTAAACTATGAATTTATTAGGTATAATGGGCAGAGTGCTGATAACAATCAAATCATGTGTTGTGTATGGACAACAATCAGATCATATTATGTACCGCGTATACATAACAAGATCGAACACAATACCATGTCATTTCCACCCTCCACTGTTCTCATCCTGTTGTAGCCGTGCTTCTCTCACTCTAATTAGTAATGAGATGGAGAAGATAGTACTCAGTAGCCATTGTCTCCTCTCTCTTCTCTTTCTTCCATTTTCTAGTTATCTCTCTCTATCAAACAAAGAATAAAAGATAACAGCACTGTGGCCCGTGTAACTCAAAACTACTATTATGTTGTTGTAGTACTGTCATCTCTCTATATGCTTTTGGCCAAAGTTATACCTACTGGAAACAAGGTCCAAGGTAGTCAAAATAAAAAAATAAATAAAACATTTACTTTGTCAGATGGATGATCAAAACTAATAAAAAATTTAGTTGACCCTAATTACAAGCCATCTTTTTGTTAACTGATATCGATGACAGATACAAGATGGATTTGATTGCTAAATTATTAATAGTTCAAGCCAGTTTGACACAAGAGAGAATAATTTTGAGAAACAACTTGAAACAACACTCAAAATTAGATGACTATTCAAGTAAATTTAATCTTTTTTGACCTTATGAATTCGAGGTTGGGCTTAGTTGTGGTTTTAGGTATTGTCAATACTGAAAAACTTATCTTGAGTGGTCAAGAAAGAGATCTGAAGCTTCAGACTTGAAGTTTAGATGAAAGTGCTACAAGCACTTAAGAAAGAAACTATTAGTGGTGGACGGCAACCTATACAGATGTCAGTAGGGAGTAATAAGCAAACCATAACATCAGGTATCGGTAATGGTACTAATAAAAAAAGAGGGTATCAAAATGACTTTATGGCCTCAATAAATCCAGGTGATGAATGGAATACACAAGGTGATTGGAGTCCTTTAAGTAATATCATGAGAACTTCTACAGGTATGGTGGCTCTCATGCAAAAAAGGCCAGCCAGAGGAACAAAAGATTGACAGATTTGATGTGTTGATACAATTTAGGATAAGCTCTTTCAATAGGATAATACAAACATTAGAAGCTGTTGAACGTATTGACACCTCAAGGCACATTGATAAAGTATATCAATCGAAATAATCATGTATGTAAACTTCAGATGCTATCCTACTAATGATTTCCCTTCTTCAGTAGGTTCCCAAACTTGTGGAGTAACGGCTTCTTCTTTTTTTGTTGCTGGTGCTGCTTGGTGGTCAAGGTAGTTCCATTGTCGATGCTACCTGTCATTCCATTTGTCAAATTATTGCTACTGCCATCCATCTTTAATTGCAGATCATCATCAGTGGATTCATCCTCATGATTCCTTTCTGATGATAAATCATTCTCCATGACTTCAACAAAATCTTCCTTACCATTTTCGGTTTCTTTCCTCTTCTCTATTTGTTTATGGTCTTCTTTATGATGATCTTCAAGATTTTTGTAAGGTACTTCTGAGTCACTTTTTTCCAGGTTGTACTCATCGCTGTCCGATATCTCACAGTTTTCCTCGGTCTTATCTGATATGGCCTGTTTAAGAGCTGCAGAGAGCTCTTTGGCCTTATGTGTCGCAGCTGCTTCCTGTATGCGAAGGTCATCATTCTCTTGTGTGATACTCTGTAGCTCAGTCTCCTTGTCCAACAATGTCTCCTTCAATTGCAAACTTTCATACTTTGATGCTTCTGCTTCTTCATATGCAGAATTTGCCCCAGATTCCACTAGTCTTAATTTGGTAAGCATCTCACTTACATCTTCCTTCACTACTTGTGTTTTTTGATTAGCTAGTTTCTGTAAGTCAACCGTTTTTGACATCTCAACCTTCAGGGTAACAGTTTCTTCTTCTAACTCTTTAATTTTGTTACAAAAACTAAACTCTTTTTCATCCCACTCATTGTTCATGTTACTTGCTTCAGTTTCGAATCTTTCAACAATTTTCTTGAGGCAAACAACCTCATATCTTGCCTCGTCAAGCATCACCTCATACCTTTCTTTAGTGTTTCTTAGAGCTATATTTAGTTGTTCTATGTCTGCTTGGGATTCTTCAATCTCAGCTTGTGTTTTTAAAAGCCTTTCATCCTTTTCTCTGGCTTCTATGGACATGGCTTGCAATGCAGAAGATAAATCTTCCATTGCCTTTTTAGCCTTTTCCTCTTCATCTTTGCTATTCTTGAGGTCATCCATGAGTTTATTATTCTCCTCAATCAAGCTCTTGATTTTTGAAGCAGTGACCTTCTCACTGTTAATTGCCCGCAACTTTTCTTCGTCCAGATTATGAAGTTCCATTTTTAGTAATTCAACAGTCTTTCCAATGTTCAGTGCATCTTGCTGTGCCAAATCTAGCTGCCTATCTGATTCTTCAAGATCAATGTTCTGCTTTGCCACCTCAATCTCCAATGAATTTATCGTCCCTCGAAGAGTAGATATTTCAGATTCAGCATCGTCCAAGAGAGACTTACTCTCTTCCAATTTCACCATCATGGCTGCCAGAGAATCAGATGCAGATTTCTCAGACTGATAAGCTTCCTCCAGATCAATCTTTAGCATCTCCGCCTTCTTCCGCCACTCATCGACTAGCTGAGCTACATCTAATTCACCCTTCCTGGCATCAATCACCTCTAACTGAAGCTTTTCAACCAATGCTTCCATCTGAACCAACTTCTCTTCGGCTGTCTTTGCCCTTTCAAGTTCAAATTTTAGAGTAGTTACTTCAGCATCCAACTTTTTGACAGTATCTGCTGCTTCTTTGTTCACACTATCCAGCTTGGAGTCATGCAAGGCCTTTAATTGACTGACTTCCTCGGACAAGAGTTCCACATTCTCTTCATATATTTCAGCAGTTTTCTTTGCATCAGTGGCTTGGACTAATGCAATTTCTTTTGCATTGGTGACATCTATGAGCTCCATCTTGATCCTCTGGAGTTCCTGAGTCATGGAATTCATTGCAGAAACATCCTGATTATGTTGGATCTGAATATTTTCGAGTTCCTTTTGGAATTCCTCTTCCCTCTTCCGGTCAGCTTTTTTGCTTGCCTGTTCCAATTCATTGAACCGAAATTTCTCGATCTCCAAGGTCTCCTCAGCCTTCTTCTTAGCAACAGTAGCTTCCTGGAATTTCTCATTTACCTCATCAGCTGACCTCTTTACTTTATTCAATTCCTCAATAGCTTTCATCTTTTCTAGCCCGACAGAAGCTAATTGCTCCTTTGCTTTCTTCAGATCCATCTCAACTGCATCCAATTTTTCCTGCAGCTCCGATGCTTTTGCTGCTTGTGGTAGTTTCTAATACCAAAAACCCAATTTACTTAGATTATATATCAGAAAGATTTTAATCCAGAATTCCAAGAACAAACTATATGGAACGGAATTATCTTACATCAGGAGTAGAGCTTTTCTTGCTTGAAGCCTTTGAATTAGCTGATTTGGGTGAGCGATTAACTGAAACACGTGGTTTTGACATGGGAGAAGATAAATCTGCCATAGGCGAAGGCGATCGAGTGTCTAATGTGGCTGATCCGGTTCTGCTTATTTTGCTAACCTTGAGGGTTCCATGTGTGTTCTTGTTGTTGGAACCTTCATGCAATCCAGATCTATTCCAAATACTAATATCAGAGTCTTCTTAGTGCACATTTAACTGCAATTGTGAAGTAAGAAAAGTGCAAAATAACCAAGAGACTGATTGCAGAACAAATCTATAGTAGAATTATATGGGTCAAAGCCTTATAAATATATAGTAAAATTATATGAGTCAGCCTTATAAATTTAAACTAGAACTATACACCAAAAGCCTTACTATTTACATACTGCAATCAGATTCATATGGTGGATGAGAGAACAAATACATGATTACTGAAGCAATCATATGTCCACTAAATTTAGGAATGCATACTGGAACACAGAGGCAGATCAACACTGAGCCTGGAAATGAAAGAACACAGAACAAAGCAAGCATTTTGAAGTTTAGACACCAACATCCAATAGCACAACCATCCAAAAAAAATCCAGATGTTCAATGGCGGACCCATGATTTATTGCAACTGTAAGTGGATAATCTACAATGAAAGAGCAATCTTGATAGCAAAATTAAGGAGAAAATCATCTAAAACTTTGTTCAGGGAGACAAAAACTAGGAATTTGAGGAAGAATTGGATGGCTAGAAGTGATAACAGCTACAGAAAACCCATTGAAATAGACCCTTGAAGGAGAAACAAGAGAAGAGAAGACAAGTGTGTAGATCTGGCGAGGAGAGGATACTCACCTGGTGTTGGAGGGCAGCATCTTTTTACCAGGGAGACACTTGCAGTTTGGGATCAGCAATGTGAGAATTGGGAAAGCTTTGGGAAAGGGGAGGAAAGGTAGTTCAGAAGTAATTTCAGAGAGCAGGAGAATACAGGGAGGAAGAGAAAGCAGATGGAGAATGGTGAAGAAAGAACAATTATATCTAGTTGGTGTCAGACAAGTACCCCTCTGGACTTCATATCCTTTCCACAAGAGCGTCAAAATACACCTGTAATATGATATTTTTTTTTCTTTAGTGAATACACTTCACTAGGCTTGTAGTTCAGAAACAAGTTGTGCATCAAGGAAAGGACACATGAACAAGTTCCCAGACGAATAAAAATACTTATGGTCGACCCTCATGTCGTATGAAGACAAAGACACAGAGTGGTGGGCTGATCTCACCTAGAGGACCCTTGTGTTCTTATGAACCTACTCCTTTTTCCCTTTTTTTTATTTTCCTTTAAACCTTGTTTGTCTCTTCATTTCAGGCACCTTCACTCATCCTCTGGGGTGGACCCATTGATGTCAGAGCTCAGCTCCTGTGGACTGATGGATCTTACAAGGGATCCAATTTGAAGTGAAGAGGATCCTACCGTCTAGATAAAGGAATATTAGGACATTTGCGAGGTTGACAGAAACACTGTCAGGTAAAGATTTCGATTCTGCAGTAAACGAATATGGAAGAGTCATCTACTGGTTGTTGCATGAGTACCATCACTTTGTATGTGACATATTACCTACAATCTTACAGGACCAAGATGACAGATTCCTGAAGAAGAGCTTTTTTATTCCAACAAGGCTGAAGGTTAGTTTCTTTCCAGAAAAATAATATGATCAAAATTTAATTCAGGTTTCTGATATGATTAGCATATTTCATTTGTGGTAGACATTGCCTGTACTTCATCTGCAATAGCTGACTAGATTACCGGTGGAATCTCATTTTCATAGTTCATCACTGTTGGAACTTCATTGTCATCCGATGCATAATATCTTATGCCCTACTAGCTGATCCAGCAACCAATCCCTGAAACGAAATTCGATATCCACGATTGCACTGGCTTGGAGTAGACATACAACTCAGGGTTTGGTGTCAAGTCTCCCATCTACCAGATCAACTGGTATTATTGATCATAAATGCCATGTATGTAGCCTTTCAAGGATTACAGCTAGATCTCGTGGTGACCATATTATTTTAGGTGAAGGTCCTTGTTTTGACGAGAAAAGAAAAAAAGGTATTGTGGTTGGTGTGTCATAGTCTGAGAGCTGATTCAGATGAAGCCCTCCTAGCATATGGCACTGAGAAGTGCAGATTTCTATAGAAGAAGGTGATCTGGATCTACTTGTCCAACCAGTCATGTTTCTTTGCCTGCATCCCCTGACTAGTTATCATGCCTTTGTACTCATCTGCTTTGCTCGTTCTAAACCACTGCAACTTTGATTTTTTTTTCTTTCAGGCATAAGACATCTCTCTTTTCTTTTATTCTTTGTTCTTGCTCCTAACAATTATAATAATAATAATATTATTATTATTATTATCACTATTATTATCCATGTAGGGTTCAAGTTTGGTTCAATTACCAAGATAGATAGTTGTTCTGATAGAATTCATGAACATATCAGTTAAAATGGGAACTTTGCCAATTGATGATGCCGGTATGAGGCGCCCACATTAATTATAAAGAATGGGGATGTTTGAGATTCGACCACAAGCATGCACAAATTCCACAATATATCACGTGGCATGACATTATTTCCTCCTCTTTAGAAAACGATGTTTTACGTACTGGCATTTCTTATGGTATAGTATATATTTGGTCCTTTCCTAGTAACTTTTGGCATTGATATTACTGGTCTTGGTATCAATTGTCCGCCTCAAATTTTGGATGTATCAGCAGACATTAGATTTACCCACTCCGTTCTCTGTTTTTTTATTTGATGCAGTCATTAAATTGATCGATTGGACAAATGGTAGGCTCAATACATTTTAAGATCAAATATAATTATATATTTTATTAATAATGTAAAATAATATATAATAAGATTAAAAATGAATATTAATATAATGTTTATTCTCGCTCACACTCTTATGATGAAAATGATTTAAATAACTTTGGAAAAAATATGTAGTTATCTTTGATAATAAATACGGAGTCAATTGTTTCAATCAAAGCAGTGATTCGATTTGGCCATAAGCGATGGGTATCGCAATCACGAGAAACAACACCGCTAGTGAGCTGAGGCGGGGATGGCCACCGACAAGCGGCGTGGTTTGCAGTGCGTCCAACACAATACAATACGACAACCATATGTTTGAGTGAGATAAGCGTGCAGTTAAGCGTGGTGCGCATGAGGAATTATATTTGCTTTTGGAGTTTGTCCTTATTTAAGGTTAGGTTGGATGGAAAATTCTTTGCCGTGTTCGACTTGGGTTGTATTTTTTTAATAGATGTTTTGTTGCAATAGTGGTAAGTCAAAAAAGAAAAAATGATTGATTGGAAAAAGATTAAAATAGGTTGTTGTTTTGGTGAATATTTTAGATTTCTCCATAGGAACCACACAAGCTGAACGACAAACATGTAGATAAAAAAGAAAGAAAAATACACACACATATATATATACATATATACATATATATATACATATATACATACATATGTATATATATATACATATGTATGTATATATACATATGTATGTATATATACATATATATATATATGTATATATACATACATATGTATATATATATGTATATATACATATATATATATATGTATATATACATATATATATATATGTATATATACATATATATATATATGTATATATACATATATAAATATATACATGACACAAACATGCATCTGTGCATCTGATTCGCAGATGAACGCCATCTTCGGCTTCACGATCCGGATCCGTTCGATCTAAAATGTTTAATGTTTAAGACCATGTTTTAATAGTAATAGATGAAATAGAATAGCGATGATTAACAATGGTAAGCATACGTTAGGCTCGGTGGCTCCACATCTAGTGGTCGTGATCCCCCACCATCGTGTCCAATAACCCCAAAGATTCAGCATGTCGTCTTACTCTATTGCATAGATTTCTTCCGAAAAGGCCGCAACAGATACAGCAAAAGCAGAAGTTGTGTGTGCGCGCGAGAGATAAATAGAGCGAACAGCTTTCGGGAGGGTCACAAAAACAACAAGAGACAATAAAATCTACAACACGACTGAAGGTCTACATGCGGACATAGGTTACTTTCTGTACAAGGTATTAACAGCATCATATACACATTTGATTCCCACAGGCAACACTAAATCTCGAGCAGCATCACGCTAAAACGAAAGGTACACGTCATCAATACAGAAAGCACGGCTCAAAGACAACATAGGCACCACAATAGTAGAAAGCATGGCTCGTTAACCACCCTTGAATAATATGTAGTCGTCATAAATAACACAGGGAGAAAGTGAAGCTAAAAGACAGTACAGCAAGAGATTCTCTGGAGAAGAAGAAAAAAAAAAAAGAACCCATCAGTCATCGTTCTCTACCTTACGCCATCTCTCTAAATCTTGCAATCGCTTTCTTCTGGATGATGGTTCGATAACTATCTCCTGACTGTGCCTCCAAGGATGGGTCTACTTTTCTCTGCTGACTTCCGAGCCCCGACCTGTCATCCACAGCTTTCGCTTGCACGGGCTCTTTGATGCCGCTACCATCCTTCCCAAGTCCCTGATCGCTCACAAGCAAGCAAAAAAAGGACAAGAAACCCAACCCCCAAAACCCATGTCAGCACCAGGCAACCATAGTTATTTAACAGTATATCCACATTGCAGGCAAAAACATTTCCATGAGCAGCCATCACTTTGCCATCTCATTTCAATTCATGACCACATCAATTCGGCAGAACTATCCTACCCTGATATAAATAATATTGTAATTTGAGTATGGACAAGAAAACTAAAGACAAACTACCAAGTCACCATATTTAATCCTTACGGCACAAGATTTTGCCATAAATATACCAGTCATTAATACCAAACCGCTACAGTGCAGTGATACCAACAATGAGTATAGGTGAAAACCTGCTCCTTAAAAGAGTCTCTGTATCCTACTCAAAGACCATTTTAAGCCTAAAGTAGACCTAAATCCAAAAGCAAAAGGTGCACTTGATGTATCATTTGACAAAGATTTTCCAATATGAACACATATATGCAAAGTGAAACCTAAGTGCTGACCCGATGAACTACTAGAATAAATAATTGTTAGCCTACGGCATTCTCGATTATTTTAACAAAAAGAAGACAGAGAAAGGGAGGTACCAGTCCTTCTTGCCAGCCCATACTGCGAAGCATCCGGTTACCCACATTGCTTTCGTCGATGGCTCGATCAGCAGTTATCACTTCATAATTCTCGGTGTTGCTCACAATGTCACCACACGACCGTCCCCCAACTCCCGGGGGAAAGGGCATCGTCCCCGTTACTGATAAAGAATCCTTTCGATATGGATAATCACAGTCTTCAAACAAAGCCATTTCCAGCATGTGAATATGCATATTGATGAATATATCAAACTATCAACTGGTGGATTTGGAAGATAGTTAACAGACAAAAGCCACTGACAACAGGTTCTGCCAGTAAGCATGAGTATATCAAGGTATCCATGCTTGAATTGTTATGGTTGAATGACCTATGAAGTTGGTTGCCAATAAATTTTCATATTTAACAACCAGGCAAGTTAGTAAAAGTAGGCCACACAAATTATGTCAGATAGTTGGAGCATAACATGCCACTATGACTAAGAAGCAGCTATTCTTTTTCTCACTGTAATCTTACATTATCAATCAGGAGCATGATATACATGAAAGCAATGGAAGTTGTTAATGCTTACTTGGATCCCCAAGCCCAAGGTCTGACAGATCATCCCCTGTGGCAGATGACGAGCCATACAGATTTCTTCTCTCAGCTGCCCTATCTCTATAAGTCGTCTGAATTTGATCCCTGGGATTAGAAAGTGCTGGTGCCTCAGAAAACCTGCGTTTACCACGTCCACCGGATGTAGATGATCCATATGAACCCAATGCCGATGCATCAGTCTTGAAGGGTGCGGAAGCATGACTCCGAGCTAAAGATGGTGTTGTTTCTATGGAGCTTGCCGTTGCAGTAGAACTAACCGTAGTACCTTCACTAGCAGATACTGGAAAAGTTGTATCTGACTTTATAATCCCTTTTCCAGAACCTCTTATAACGCCCATTATTGTGCCTCCCAAGCTATTACTAACAGGTCTAGGCTTAACCTGTGAATCCACATCTACTGTCTCAGCAGAGATGGATTGAGTAGTCCCACGGCTAGCAGATGAGGCATAAATTGAGCTACCCATTGCTTCCTTAACTGAATCAGATTTCAATTTGCTTTTTGCAGTTAATGCTACAGATGCAGAGTACGAATTGCTTGGTTTATCATCTAGCAAACCAGATGACTCCTTGTCATCAAGAACAACACGAGCTGCCTGCCCCTCATGATTTCTTTGCTTCCACATTGCCAGAACATTGTTCATCTTTTTCTTATTAGCTAAGAGGTTACTTTTTGATGCCAACTTAATCTCTTTCAACTTCTCCTTTTCCTTTTTCTCTGCAGCTAATGCTGCTGTTGCAGCAGCATGAACCGCATCAGGCAATGATGCTTTTTCATTTGATTTTACCGTGGTTGCAGCTGCAGATATCACTACTTTTTTGCTTGCAGTTCCATCCGATCCTTTTGAAGTTTCATTTGCCATGTCTCCAGCTGCCTTATTGTTGCTCTGCTCGTTGCAAGGGACATACTGCTGAGTTTGATGATCATAAGAATACCAAACACCATTGTTCCCATCATAGTAAAGACCTGCATGAAACAATTACAAGTAGAGTTCGGCAAGACAATGAGGCACTACTCCAGTAGGATTTGATGGAAAAAAACCATGCTCAAAGAGGTTTAAACAAAAAAAAAAAGTTGCCAGCTACTACTATAACAACTATATATAGCTATATAAACATAAAAAATAGTATTCTATATAAAGGCACATATTATACATATATTAATTTCTTTATTTTTCAAATAAAAAAAAATTTAGTAGGAATCCATAGAAGTTTCTGACAATAAAACCTTCCAAAATGAATAATTGCTGTACCAAAAAATTGATATATCAAACAAACTAACCAGTATTTCCATCATAATAAAACCCTGAGGCAGCATCATAATAATAGCCA